ACAAGTCGAGCATCGTGTACACCAGTAGTCCATCTTGGCAAGTTGGCAGGTCACTCCACCTTATGCCATAGGTAGTCGCGCTTCCCGCTGGCAATTGTCGGTTGTCGACTTCGGACGTGGGCTGTGGTGATTATGTGTGACAGGAGAATTACTCATATTATCCGCGTGGCAAAACACCTTGATGGACAGCCTGAATCGCCAGCCACAGCGGAAGCCACAAACTGGACAAAGATGTGATATATTCTCGGTCTTGCAGATACGTCGAGCTAGCCGGAGCGAACTAGCTGATCGACCAAAACCTTCCCGGAGTCACTTACCTGTGCGGTGACAAGTGCCGGCTTTAACACCTCGCTTCAAGAATTAAGCTTACTTCTTCTAGCGTCATCCCATCACCGCGTCGAACTAAGGTAGTCGATCCAGTCAGTCTACATCCTCACGAACCATTTCATGAGTCAGTCGCTTCCAATACCAAGCTAAGGTTGCCGACGAAACTCATCACATCGTCGCATTTGGACCCTGCAGAAGCGTGGCCGGTCGCCAGCAGTTGTTTCACATGATATGGCTGAGGTTTAGGTCGGTGTCACGGCGAGAAGTGAGTCATGTTTTAAGTACAGCTAGGTTCAAGACATTGATTCCTAGCCCCGCTGGTGTAATCGGAGGCTGGTGTGGTTATTGTAAGTCAACGACAAATTAAGTACTCGGAGAAACGACGTGGAATATTACTTCTGCAGGCGAAATGAGCTGCGGCTCTCGTGCCTCTCGGATTCTTAGGTCCTGTTTCTAGATGAAGTGATTCTGTGTATGTCGGCAGAGTCGGGAGACACATTTGCCGTTCTCATGTGCAATAAGGAAATCCCGAGGCCGTAGAATCATAACAGCAACCTATGTTGCTCACACCGAAAGCCGCGAGGACTTCCCAATCGCCTCATTTGGGAAGTGTCACAATCATACAATCTTAATCATCAATACTATCAGGGTTTAACCGACCACTTCATATGCAACTCTTGCTTGATGGAACCTATTGGGTACAAATAATAAAGTAGAACGTGAAGAAATTCTTTGGATAAGGAAAAGTCAACACCGATGTAGATAGAGTTTACCCAAATGTCATGTTAGTTAGTGAAGGACATCTGGTCAATTTTTGACAAAGTTGCGACTGATTTTTGAACCTGGCCAATCGGATCACAAGCCACCACCTCTTCGCAAACCCTCAACAGACAGCCAAAACTTCACATGAAATATCTTGATATCAAAGAAAAAGCTATCATCAGGTGAATATCAGCAACACAAAACTGCAACGACAAAAGATTATGATCAGTGGGAGGCTTGAACTCCCGGCCTTGGCATTACATAACATTTCAGGTGAAATATTAGTACCACGCTCTAACCAACTGAGCTAACCGACCGATTGGTTGGAAGCCCGAGGCGTGATAAGTTCCTAGGTACCCCACCGCGATTTTCAGACCCTCACCAGGGTAGTTCCTGGCGCTAAACGGGAAAACGAGATCTTGAACCATCAAGTCACTGGAGAGGAATTTTGTGCTTCATGTTCTTATAATTAACTTGGCTTAACATCATGTTTGCAAGGTAGTTGATGAAGGCCCAATGAATCGAGTTGCTCTAGACTTGTAAGTTGTGAATCAGACCGAAAACCCCGACTATCCATGCCAGCTTGTAGCCCACATTAACTCTACGCCTGCAAATCACTCCAGGAAAACTCCGGGCGCATCCATTCGTACGTGTCCAAGAGATCGAAATTAATATCCAACTGCGCCGAAAAGTCCCATTCCATCGCATCGCTAGACAGGTTGCGGTTCGGTGCCCCATTGAGCGCTTCGTCCAGCACCTGTTTCACAATAGTCATTGTGCTCGCGCAGATGCTGCCAGGGGCTTCGGACGGGCTCACCCACTTGAGAAAGCCAACCAGAAGACTCAGCACTTGTACAATACCGGACCTGGTAATGACTTTGCCGGTACTGTCTGTGACGGGGATGCCGCTGTTTCCTAGAGTTGGTGTGGGCTTCAGTAACTCTAGGCAGAGGATCCCGCCTCCTGGAGCGGCGTATGCCATGACCTGATGTAGTCGCGGATGTCAGTCATGTAGCTCTCATTCTGAGGTTTTTTCAGTTGGATGCATCCTTGCACTTACAAGCCACTTGAAATCCTCGCACAAGACACCGAGACTATCCATATCAGTCCAGTAGAGCAATGTCGTCGCCGTCATTTCGTAGCTGACCGACAGCAAATCCCGCTTGTTGGAGCAGTCCTGCCGATTCAATAGCCGCTCAATGAAGAAGAGATTCTGCAGATGTTCCAGCTGCATGAGCAGCCTTACGTGGAACATCTGACCAGTGAGACTCGGATTTCGAATGTCTGATTCGTTAAACCGCATGATAGCTGGCATCTCGGCCGCAGCCGCGAACTCTTTTGCTTTCAGTGCACTATCAGATGAGCGCAAAATTAGTATTCGCTCAAATCGGACGTATAGTCGAATGATTATATGCTCGCGCTGCGCACTTACAGCAGAACTTCCACCGATATGGCCGCCTCAGGTCCCAATGCAACCTCAAAGATCTCGTCACGGATGATCATGAGCTTATACCGAGCTCGCCAGAACGTGACCGAGTTCAGCGCCCCGTCGGGATTCCATCCCGACTCATCAAGCGATCTCACCGCCTTGTTGATTGTATCGTCGTCGCAGAGCAGGTAGTCGTCCCGTATGTCGAGCGGCGGCGGCGTTAGGATGTATCGGCGACTCAGGGCGGGCGGTCGTCCCGTGATCGCGGAGCCGACTTTGTCGAGGACGAAGATTTTCACGAGAAGCCGTCTCCGCAGCTCGGATGCCAAGGTCGGTTTATAGGGCCCCTTGTTCTGTTCAACGTGTAGGCCCAGGAAGGTAAGGAGTGATACTGTCTCCCCTTGTGTCATCCATGTTGAGCGACCTGCACCATATTTTAGCCTCCATCAATGAAGGTTACGTGTCTGTCGAGACGTGGCGACTCGACGTGTCACCAGGAACTTACTGGTATCTCCGTCAATGATAGACTCGATAATCATCCGCCTAAAGTAAAGGTACAGCAACAGCGTATTCCCAACCTCATTAGCCTGCCTTGCCAAAGTAATGCAGTCAAAGATACACTTCCTGAAAGCGTTCTTCTGCCCGTATCCCATTCGTCCAACCTCCGTTCTCGGAAGCTGCTCATTTCGAAGCTTCATCTCCCAGTAAACGAACAGCAGCCCCAACGTCTCCCACCTCAAATTCTCCTTCGTAAATTGCGCCATCCAACGCTCCGGGTCAGGCTCGTGCTCGAAAAATGGCCGAGACGAGTTATAGCAAAGCCGCCGAGCAAACTCTGACAGCTGCGAGTCGTCTCGGTCCGCCTTGCTGAGATAGTGCCCGAATGTACCATACAACGAGTCCAGGGCCCGCACGGCAACGGGGTGGATGAAAGCGTTGTGTGGGTCAAAGTGCGAGTCAAATAGTGCCCGGCCCTGACGTTCATCGGGGACCAGACGAAGGATGAAGAGGCAAGTCTCCAACGTCTTAGCGTCTTCTGAGAGGACAATAGACCTGGCTTCCCGGCCGGCGTTCGAGGTAGAAAGAATTTCCTTCGCGGCGTGTATATCATGGGCAGAGAGCCCATTACCGACTTCCTTGTACAGGTCGCTCCACGACATGAAACCGAGATGGCCGGATACGCTCTCTGGCACAACGACCTCGCGACTCGGAGCGCATTGTCCATGTATCTCCGTTTCCGTCACGGCAGGGCTGATCTCAGACCGTTGGCCAACCAGTGTGGACGCAGTTGCGGGTTGGAACTGTTCGGCGCCTGTTTCCGAACCCGTTACGCTGGTTGACCGTGACGTCCGTTCCGAGACAGCACGGGGAGCCTCTGGGCCTTGTCGCATCTGCGCCGGCGTACTCATTGTGAACTCGCACGGTTCCGTCCGCCTCCGTCTCTTGCAGTTACTGCAGACCGGACGGGCGTGGTCGCATGCGACTTTGCGACGGCGACAGGGGTCGCATGCTTGAAGCCGACCGTTCTTTCGATAGCGGAGTGGTGAAGACGCGGACTCCATGATGAATGCCGATATTCACGAGAAAGCCGAACAGATAGCCAAACCAACAGCGACAAACGGCATGCCTGGAATGAGGAAATGTCCAAGTTTCCCAATTGTGCTGGAGATTTTCTTCTTTCGCGATTAATTTCGAGATCATTAGGGGAATGTCAGCAAGCCGAACTTTGTGAGTCTTACCGAACATCTTACCGAATAAATATGACCAAAGTTCGGCTTCGGATGGTCTCCGTAGTCTCGGGAAGAGCCTAACCGCGAACGGCAAACAGCCGATCCCATGTCAGCTTGTCCACCTTCAGTTTCCCGCAGTCCCTTTCTCCCTCCACCTATGATGATGAACTATGAAGTACTCAAGTGCTGTTAGACCTTAGGCGCAACTCAAGTTTGCGGGGCTCAATTCCTCTAAGAAGGCCTCCGCGTCGTTGAATTCAACAAGGGTAGGGAAACCTTCTCCGACGTCGATTGCGCCTTATGGGGCGGCAACTCATCATGACTTATGTCAATCAACCCCTCCCGACGCCGGCGGCCCTCGGCACGGCGCACAATTTGCCGTATGGAAAAAGAGACTGCTCATTGTAGCGATGCCATTTGTGTTTCAGAGCGAGGGATGCATTACAATCCATTACGCCTACTCTTGAGTTATTGCCATCGTTTTCTTTGCTCGCTGCTGTTAAATTGCACTAGCATTACCTTCAAGTTCTCAATGGTATTATTTCGAGTTCCCAGTGGTTCGCTGTCATGTCAATCAACAATCGCATCTACAACGATGCGGTTCCGCATTCGGAATTTTCTCCCGAAGCAACACAACAGAAGGAGACCACTGCCGCCAACGTGAGTCAAAGTGTCGAGATCGATATACGACCTCGAGATGGCGGCCGTTTGGCCTGGCTTCAAGTTGCGGGCTCATTCTTTCTATTTTTCAACTCATGGTTAGCAGTCTTCCAGTCATGACCTGTTGCTAAGAAAAAATAACAACTAATCTCATTCTCAGGGGCATCTTGAGTTCCTACGGCGTATTCCAAGCCTACTACCAAGAACACATGAAGGATGTATCCGCCGACTCAATAGCCTGGATCGGCTCCATCCAGTCCTCCCTCCTTCTCTTCACGGGCGTCCTCGTCGGCCCCCTCTACGATGCAGGCTACTTCCGTAGCCTCACCTTCACAGGCATCACCCTCATCTTTCTCGGCATGACCATGACGAGCATTGCGACGGCGTACTGGCAGGTCCTCCTTGCGCAGGCATTCTGCGTTGGCCTGGGCTCGGGTTGCATCTACATCCCCTCCGTCTCCATCATCCCGCAGTACTTTTCCGAGCGTCGCGCCTTCGCCACGGGCATCGTCGCGACAGGCAGCTCCCTCGGCGGCGTCGTGTACCCCCTTATCTTTCAGAGTCTGTACCCCCGTGTAGGCTTCCCCTGGGCGACGCGAGTCCTCGCCTTCATCTCTCTCGCCACAAACGCCTTTGCCTTCACCGTCTTGCGGCAGCGCCGTCGCCGGGCCGAGTCCGAGTCTGATGATGAAGGCGCTGGGAAACGGAAGCGCCGTGTCATGTTGGACCTCTCCGCGTACCGAAACGTCTCGTTCGTCGTCTTCTCCGCAGCAATGTTCTTCAACTTCTTCTCGTACATGGCACCCATCTACTATCTCCAACAATACTCCCTCGCCCACGGGCTGTCAAGCGGGGGCCCTTCGAGACTGCCGTATTACCTAGTCGCGATCCTCAACGCGGGTTCAATCCTCGGCAGAGTCTTCCCTGCTTGGCTCGCCGGTCACTTTGGACCCATCAACGTTCTCCTTGGCGTCTCCGTCTCCATCGCCGCTGTCGCGCTGAGCTGGCTGGCCGTGCATGACGCCGCGGGCAGCGTTGCTTTTGCCCTCGCGTACGGGTTCGCCTCTGGTGGGCTCGTATCACTGCCGCCTACCGTTATCTCGAGTCTTGTGCCTGACCTCAGCTTACATGGCACGTGGCTGGGTATGCTATGCACAACCAATGCATTTGGATCATTGGCCGGACCACCGATAGCGGGAGCCTTACTTCGAGCTACCAGCGGTTACCTGGGTGTGCAGTTACTGTCAGGACTCGGTATGGTGGCAATGACGGTGTTGATGTTGGTTCTGAGAGTGACGCTTTTAGGCAAACAGCAGTCGTGGAAAGTATAAAGGATTGTATGAGGTCAGGCTCCCTTACAGTTTGGGGGGCAAGCCAAGATCATAATAGTTTTCTTAGAAAATGTTGACTGTGACGCCTTACAAAACGAGAAGAATTCAGTAACCAATGGTGCATACTTGACACAGTGATAACATACACCACAGCACATAACCATAGGTTGAATCCATGTCAACATGAATGATCGATTGCCCGCAGCCTCTCTCAGTAGGACCAAGATCAGGTCTAGCTTAGAAACCTCCCGACAAGCTACTTGTCCGGTGTAGATAATGTAAAGAACCAGACTCCCAGATTACGCGGCGCTTCGGTTGCTGGTCCCTCTAGCGTCACATAGGCCTTGATCAATTCACCATCCACAACTATGCCATGTGCATTCACAAAGCTGCTTTCTTCACTGGCAAGGAAAACGACCGCTTGCGCTTGCTCAATGGCCTCGCCGAAGCGATCAGTGGGAAAGTGCACCTCTCTCCGGAATCGCTTGGCATGATCGTCACCCAGGAAGTCCTGAAGCATAGGATTACTGTAGCTGACGTGTTAGTAGCAGCCGTTGACATTCTCTCGCGCGAATGGTAGGGAACGAACGACATACTTCAAGGCGCCGGGCAAATCGTGTTGAAGCGGTAGCCTGCAACTCGTAAGCATGCTGGAGAAATTTCATCGACATCACAGAAGGGACTCCATGAGAACGTTGCTTTTCTCACCTTCTCTGGCATGAACGATCGCCAACTCCCGAGTGAGGGCCATAACCGCGCCCTTGCTCGCGGTATACGCCAACTGCGGTGTGGCTGATCCGACGATGGCGACCATGCTAGCGGTGTTGATGACGCTGCGCTTTGTCTTGCCATGCTTCCGTAAGGACCTCATCGCATGCTTGCTCCCGTACCAGACGCCCTTGACGTTGATGTCAAACGTCTTGTTCCAGATCTCGGCGGAGCACTCGTGCGCATCGCCGTCATGAGGGTGCATGATGCCAGCGTTACTGAAGATGACATCGAGGCCGCCCCAGCTGTCCGGGTGATTAACAGCCTGTCGACTTCGGATTCGCTCGAAACGTCTACGACAAGAGTCTCGAGATGTCCGGGAACGTTCGCTACGACGTCCCTCACTCGTTTGAGTGCCTTGTCGAGGAGTTCTTGATTGAGGTCTGTCATTAGGACGGAGGCACCCTCTCTAAACATGAAGCTTGATGACTCTAGGCCAATCCCACTGGATTTGAATATGAGTTTGTCCTTCCAGATGGCGATGGAATTTACTTACCCAGTAGCACCAGTGATTATGATGTTCTTTCCTTCGAGTCTTCCGGGCATGTTAGCTGATTGGGGGAGGTCGTGAGACCGCGAATGGGGTGCAAATTCTTGAGAATGAAGAAAGTGAAAACGATTAATGAATCACTACAATGTCTCAAGGAGGCAAAATCTTCCCAAAGCGTAGCGAATCCTGGCTTGGGATGAAGAAGCCCCCGGAGATCATCATACCACGAGAAAACTACAGGCTTTTATAGATTGCCAGCAGCCTCCATTACATTTAGTCATGCATCGTGATCTCATGTATGTACATGTAGTTTGGAGACCGTTTGCCGCGTCCGATATCTCTAGTCCACTGCTACGGAAATCTGCGCTTATCTGGTTTGGTCTGGCTCTGCCAAATAAGCCCCCGAACCGCGTTTACCGAGTCTTCGATTTTGCCGCCGAGAGGGGCTGCAGTCATCTTGATAAGGTGGACATAGATACACCCTTTCAAAGTCCCGATCTCCTTGTTGCTAGATAATTATTGTACAACAAGCTTATTCAGAGATTGACGCTAGATTCTTGATAAATACCCCAGAGCATGCACATGTCCATTAATGATGGATCTGAGCATTTTATGGTGAACTTTATCTTACGGCCTCACTAGGTATCTTGAAACGTGATTTTCCGTTGAGAAGTGGGACTGCTAAGAATGAAGGTCTTGGAACTGGTAGAAACAACTTAAAGACACATGTTGGCGTTGGCGGACAGTCTAGTTGTGTCACGGTGTTACCAGAGAAGATTCGGTCTCGAGACAGGATGCTTAGAAACTTGCCGCTGCGCCCACACCTGCATTGGCATCAAATAGTTGTCTTCTATAGTAGTATTGATAGTCGATGCGATCCACCGGTCCAGCTTGGTAAGCCTCTTATCCCAATTCCCGCCAATAACGCGTACGGCATGGGTCATGTTAAGGGCGTTTGTCTGCAAGCACCCTGCTAACCTTCTTATTACTCTCCCAGCACCTGCTTCGTAAAGTCTCGCGCGATCGAGTAGCTTAGTCGCACTATGAGAAGTAAACAGCCATTCATTTATCAGATTTAGTGAGCGGTAGCTTACGCAGTAGACAGACTATAGGGAGGTTAATTAGCAATCAAGTTCATGGGTACGAAACAGCAAGGGATGACTTACACCTCCAGGGCAGTCCTGGCTGACATCCTCCCGATCACGAATGCTCTGGGGGGAGAAGCATGATCCGCGGAAAGTGGGGAACGCTGATGATTGTACGTTGAGGCACTTTGGTGATAATTAGATATACGTTGCTCGGCAGAATGGCTGCAACTTACGCAATAAGAGTTTGCTCCCTTTCCCTAGACGAGTATGGATGTCAGTGATCGTATTGCGCTGCACATAAGCTTTGGACACTCACCTCACAGGTGTTTCCACTGGCGAGACCTTGTCCACCGTTGCAGTACTTCTGCAAAGCACTGACGGCAAGAGCCTGAGCAAGCAGAGTGGTAATAATAGAAGCCTTCATGATTGTTAACTGAGAAAGAGTGTGTTGTAAAGATGACTCCAGATGGCGATGAAGTGGACTCTGTAGTGCGAAGGCGAATGTTCGTGTTCAAATACTATCAAGACTTACACTATAGGGAACTCCGTGTCTATATATGGCCTGAAACTGTGCAATCTGCCTCGGATTGACTTTTGAAACCTTGATAAAGTAAAATGTATTAAAATGCTGACGACAGACCACTTGCAGAGTCATGAGCAGTGGCACTTAATATAATCGAAGCCGTGCGGGACTCGGGCCGGTGTCTAAGCCTCGGACTTAAAGCCAACGTCCGTCCGTCTTGCACCTGTGCTAATCGCTCGTCGGACGGCTGTGTCAATCAGCTTCTGATCTTGACCGCTGAACGAGCCATTAGCCCATCTTTGTGGCCAAGGAGAAATGTACAGAAGGCAATAGGTAAGTTACAGGGGATGTAAGAGCCAAGGCTAGAACGGGAAATGAGTACTAAACCGTCATGACCGGCGGAATGGATGGGATGACAAGTTGAGCCGAATGGACTTGATAAGACACGGTAAAAACATGCATTTCAGAACAGAATTCGATCTTAGATGCTGCAGTCAATACCAGAGCATCAAATATCGAATTTCCCGGGTGAATAAAATGTTGCGGCTGAACAGAGAAAAACACGTTGACGCCCCGGCGAGTTCGGGGGCTGCGTGGGAGTTTCAACTAGTTCCCACACCACGGAAGTTTGAAAAGCGGAAACTCACGAAAGAACGACAACCTCTGAATTGAACAGAGCCACCACTGGTATTTCCGACATTGTGGGTGAGGTTGCCGGACCCGGGGGGAGGCGGGTGACAACCCATCCCGTCGGGTACGAGTCGTCATCAGTATAGACACGTAAATTTCTATGGAGTAAAACTGGAGATAGGTAGATTAACGTCGACTCGCAGCCGATGGGATAAACGCTATCAAGATTAAGAATAAGTTTTGAGAGCTTCTTAACCAATGGTTATCCACCTTGCCTGGTTACTGAATCCAGCTTAACCCTCCTACTAGGCTTATCCTGTAGGTAGATATCCATTGTACCTACGGTTGTAGCGGTGGAATAGTGAGGGAGTGTCTGCATCCACCAAGATTGCTTCTTCCCTCGGCTGCAAAAGCCAATCCTCGACAAACGCGTTCAACGCGTCCGGAGATAGTTTACGCTTGATCTTACCGACTACGTTAACTACATGGCTGAAACCTAGATCCAGCAACACAGGGCATTTAACTACTGTATCGCGAAAGGCATAGTAACGAAGACTTCAAGTGGGTTTGTTCTTCAAAGCCTGGGAACCAAGTGTATGTTCTAGTACACTATGCTGTCCGACAAAGCAGCACTTCGCGGATTACAGTATTAGCCATTTGTTTATTAGTGTTCTGAAAAAGAACTGTGCATAATTTTGGTTATCAACTTGCAAGTCTAGAATAGATTGATTTGAGTAAAAACATCAGGGCTGACGTCTCGAGTTAAGGTCTCTATAAAATATCTCTTTAACCCCAGATACCACTATAATGGTGTAGTAAACGCATATGCTTTGCTCGGAAGATAACTACTATAATCAAAAGTTACTACGTATTACTATATCGAATGGTATATAAAGATCGGGCTCTTATTTGTAGTTTATTTAGTCCTAAAAAGAAATTAATATACGGGTATAAAGAACTGATATATAGGCAAAATTCTTATATAAGTATAACAATTTTATATTATAATTAGCTAAATCTCAATTCGAACCGAAAAGTAATCGTTTCGAATCCCAGAAGAAAGATCCCCTCGCTACGTCTACATTTTGCTTTGCTAAATACCATCTGAATGGTAGCGAAGGGAGAACCAAACGAAGTAGACACGTAATAAGCAAGCGAAGTCGTACAGGAACCGAGACTATTCTACCTAGGTCATCAAAAGTTCAGGTGAGCATGTGTGAGCACGGGGGACGCAATTGCCCGTCTCCTGTGTGTCGAAAACTATTGTGGCACCTGTAGTCATGCCGTCTCGGGTCATTTCAATGAGGACATGGGGTTAGTCTTTTAAACGTACTGGCCTCCGATGAAGAATGCCAGTTTTTGTTCCAATTCTTGATACCCCTTTTTGAACATGAGGATGCTTCTCAACAATGGCTCCTGAAGGCCGAGTTTCAATACCTTGGCTGGAGCCTGTGTACCTCACGAGCGACTCTCGCCAAGGTATAAGAACAACCGATACCATGTCAGCAGAGTACGGCGACCTTGAAGTAGCGCATCCTGTCAAGGAGGAGAATCGCTCCGGACAGCAACATCACCAGGGCCAAGTCAATGCCCATGAGCTTGCCTCATGCAACCAGCATCCTCGTCAAGATCACGTCACCTCTGAAGGCGGATTACGAGGTTGTGGCATCGGGCAAGTGACCTTCTGGGTCGGGCTCACAGCTGCAGCCTTTTTGTTGGGCGCAATTGCAGCGGCAGTAGTCGCCGGAATGACAAGCAAGGCGCTCAAAAAAACAAGACATGATTGCGAAGCGTAAGTTTGCTAGACTGTTTCTATCTAAATCATCATGCAAGACTAATTGATATATACTAGGTTGAAAGCATCGTTATCGCCTTCATATCTGGTTCTAACAACCCTAAGCGCCATATCTTCAACCTCATTTGCAACATCCACCATTACATCGATTCCACTATCAGTCAGGGCTTTGTCGGTTCAGGGAGGAGTCATAACCAACTGCCCTTATCTCAATGATAAGAACAACACATACACGGCGCATGACTCAAACATCAAGTTCGAGCAGGAGCGTGGAACAAATCATCCAGGCGACGATTTGGAGCAGATACCGCTTACGACGATAGAGAATTGCCCGAACCTTTGCGCTGCGTTAGCGTCACTTGGAAGACAGGAGACAAGCAGGGTGTATAATCGAACTACTGCTGGCTGAAGTACGTGAGGATTGCGGCAGTGGCCAATGTGCACGTCGAGGCGGCATGGATATTGGACTGACGAAAGAACATCACAAAGGTCTAACTTCCCTGTTTGAAACATTTACATCACTTCCATTTAACGTGTTTAAAAAAACGAAACATATAACTGTTATAAGCAAAATACCGCTATAGACAATAATCCAGATGTCCATACTTTCATTTTACATCCCCAACACGCATCCGAGACCTTGAAGCGATAGCCCGTTAAACAGGCTAATGACCGGGACCTTTTCTAACCCTCGTCATTCAGCAATATGGTTTAATTCATTCGCCAGCTCAAACCGCGTTCAAAGACGCCAAAGGCTCCGCCAGACCGAGCTTAGCTGCCTTGATGGATGCCTCTGTGAGTAAGGGCTCGTCAAGCGGAGTCGCCAGGTCCACGTCTGTAGCGCTGCTGGCATCACTTGCAGTCTCGAAAGGTCTGTACAGAGCCTCGGCAATGTGGGCCTTGGCCAGTCCATCGGCTAAAGAGAAGAAGGAAGGTCAGTTCACTGCGTCTCGAAATCAGGGCAAAATCATAAAGTAAACATACCTCCGTAAGCGAGCTCGATGGGGACGGTTGGGTCAAGACCCCGCGTTCTCCTGATGTGGGAGATGTAAGCGGCGCTCATAATGTAGGCGGGGATGGCATGATCCGCCAAGTTGGAGGTGAGCTCGGGAAGAGTCTTTTTGTCGTGGAGGAAGTCCACAGCCTCCCACAAGATTCCGCGCTTGACGTTCTCGGAATAGATGCCGGGCATGGCGGTGTTGTAGCGGCGGTCGAGGTCGGCGACGGTGAACGTCTTCAGGGGGGCCTCGTCGCCGGTGATGTCGTGGTTGCGGAAGACGTGGACCTCGAAGTGGTTGTCGGTGCCGATCTCGCCGGTGCTGGGCTTGGAGCGGTCGTGCTTGTCGTTGGCCTGACGGGAGTCGATAACGATGGTCTGCAGAGGGCCGCTGCGGATCTCGTGGGCCTCATGCTTAACTCTTCCGTTGCCCTTGTACAGGTCAGCGCCGGGCTGCAGCCAGCTGCGGCGGGAAAAGCCATTGTGAAGGAGGTTGATCTGGGCGATAGCGATAGCGTGACCCCCGCGAGAGAAGGTGACTTGGATGGAAGCGTCGATCTCTCCCATATCGCCCATGAGCTTCATCAGCTCCTCATCGGTGTACTTCTTCCACTTGGCGTACTCCTCCTTTCCAAAGATGTGGTCGTAGTCGTCCTCGTTCAAGGTGGTTACGAAACCAGTGGGGAGTACAAAGCTGCTGGAAATCTCCATCTTGTCTGGGCGCTTGGTGTCGGACCAGCCGGACCGCATAAAGTTGTAAATCATGTCAAAGAAGTGGTAGCCGCTGTGAGAAACCTTGCCGTAGCCTGTACGATAGGGGTGGTAAGGCTCGTCCACGATTTCTGAAGGCATGCGCCATTTGCCATCGCAGTGTGTTGAGATGATGTTCGTCACGGGACATCTGGTCTTCTCCTGAATCTCCTTGATCATGTCGAAGGTGCAGTAAAATCCAGGGTGGTAGCGGCGATGGCTGTTCATTTGGAAGAATGTCGGCTTCTGGCCTTGAGCGATCTGACGCTTTCGGAGCTCTTCGTAGGCATCGGCAAGATCCTGGTAGTCCTCGGCAATTCCGAAGGCGGCATCGAAGTCGGTGACTGCACCGTTCCTAGTCGAGATAGGCTTGTCCATGATGATGTTCAAACCAGCGGAAACAGCCCAAAGACCATATGACTTGTGGGCAAGAGGCTCGGTGCTGATGACCGCGCAGGTCACTCCAGTTCGCGCCACAACTTCGTTCAGGCGCGCGGCGACGTCGACAGGCATGGGTCCGTCGTAGGCCGGGACCAGAACCAGCTCTGCATCCGGAGCCATTCCCTTGGTGAACAAGAGGTCTTCCACTCTGTCCTTGCATCGCTCGATATCGACAACAACTTTGAGATAGGCCCTGCCCTCTTCGCGAAGAGTCTTGAGGTGGGGAATATAAGTTCTCTTGGCGTGAGCACCAGCACCGACCAGAAGGAACTTCTCCATGGCAGGCTCGGGAGCGGCCGCGGTTTCAATTGAGTTGGTGGCCGTCATCTTGAGTTGTGTTGTGATGTACGACACTTCAATAAATATTTGCGAGTCTGATCTGAAGGCCAACCTAATGAAGTTGTTCAAAGGATGATAGGAATGAATCTCAGAACAATCATGTAATTCGGTCGAAGACAGCGAGCTTCCTTTATTGAAATGGGAGATGGCTCAGGGCAACTGACTAGAGTGTTTACCCAGCCTTCGATATTCCCAATCTTCGTGCAAGAGTCCCGAATGAATGACTTCTGCTGAGCTGTTTTGACAAGCAAACATAATCATCAGTTCAATGCCAAGAACCCGTAGGTAAGGCTATGATGGCAAGACGGTCGGTGTTCGCTAGTCTCTCACGCCACTCCAGAGGGCCTTGCCTGTCAGCATTAGAGTTGAGCCGTAGGCAACTCTAACGGGCCGCAGCTTCAGTCTTCGTGAAAAATCGAGCCGTTGTCACCATCGACTATTCGACTATTTCCATTGGCTCGGTTGCATCACCACTCAAAGCAACTGCCAAGTCTGTAATTTGGAATGGTAAGCGTTGACTAGCATGTTGAAATGCTTCTACTTGGAACTTGGAAAGCTACGAGTCAACGACCGGTCAGAATAAGCAAGTCGATATTGACACAGGCAATTACCCAATTCAGGGATGTACTTGAGACGCATCTATGCTGGTAAGCAAGGGATTTTGTTTTTTGAAAACGCTTATGCTTCATATGTGCATACATCTAAGCAAAAAGGTGGAGCACAGGCGAGCGAAAAAATTTAACTTCTTGCTTATTTTGAGCGTTTGCGTAAGCAGTTGTGATTGTATTGTCTCGCTAATAGCACAATGGTCAGACCCTTTGCGATGTAGTGATGCGACCAGCAAGGCTTGATGAACATGAACTTTCTCAGGCGAGATAGGTGACAGACATGTAACATACTACGCGCTAAGTTTAGTTGGGTTCACAGCACCGTTAACCGTAACGCAGAGGGATGCCCCAATACTACAGTAGACATGTAGGCAACGTCAACATGAAGTTTAGTTATCTCGTTTGTGTGGCTTGGTAAAAGCTCTTGCAAACAATTCCTTCCCCAATGTATTCAGTCACAGGTTTTAGGGCTACTCAACAAGCACTGGAAGAGTCATATAGCTATTTTCAAAACTTCAAGTCTTCAAACAGCTCAGAATGTCACGATAGACGTGGGACCACGGTGTCAAAGGGTGATTATGATCATACAATGACCGCAGGGAGTGGGATAAACCAATAGAAAAGTGTTATTGATCTCGTCTATGGACATTTTCCCGGCGATTTTGACCCTTTGGTCAAACCGAATAGATATTTCTAGCCACAAAATGCCTACATCGCATTCACCACGGAAGCTCCTTATGATCATAGGTGCGGAACGCAGCTGCAGTCTCCCGGGTCGCTTGATCAATCTGCTCAACAGTTAGTTCCGAGCAATGCAGCTCATCTAATCACCTGAGCATGCATACCTCAGTCAGAATGGAGTCCGTGGCCTCAGCGACAGAGACAGGGGCCTCCTTTTTTCCGAACCTGATCGCAGCAGCGTTGCCCATCTCCGTTTGCATCCACCTTTACCCCCCGCAAAGACATTCATTAGCGACCAAACGTTACGCAAAGCACAAGATGAGGAGGGAGGAAAGAGAGAAGTGTCGGCTTACCCTGGGTGTAGAGCAAGGGCGATTAGACTCTCGTTCTCGCTCCCGATCCTGCGGACCATGAAGTTGACCGCGGCCTTGGAGGAGCCGTAGGCCGCGCAGGGCGAGGCATACCGAGGGACCTCGCCCAAACTCCCGGCAATACTCGAGATTACGACAAACTTTGGTGTCGACGATCTCGCTAAGAGGCGCCACGTAGCCTGGAATAAAAGCAAGGGCGCAACGGCGTTTACAGTGAAGCAGTCGAGGACGTCTTCGATTGGTGTCTCGACAGCCGGTGTAGGGGCCTTGCTGATGCCCGCGTTGGCGATTACCACGTCGATCGTATCCACTCCATGATCGTGGACCAGTTTCTCAATCGCAAGCGAGGCATCCTTCGGGGAACGGCTGTCGATTGTGATGGTGATTAGTCTGCTTCCGGAGTGGGTGCGAAAGCTGAGCAAATCGGAGGCCTGGTCTTGAGAGCGCGTTGCGGCGATGACTGTGGTGTTGGGCCGTTGGAGGATCGCCTCGGCGAGGCCGCGGCCGAGGCCTGCTCAGTTAATGCCCAGTTAGATCCAGGTGTACCGAATGGGGCTTTTTGGGAAAGTAAATTTGATGAGGCACGTACCGCGACCCGCTCCAGTGATCAAGTATGTGGCGCTATCTGACATGGCTTAGGATAACTTCGGGGAGTGATAGAATGTCTGTTCACGGTCTTGAGAGCCAGGAAGATGTCCGTATAATGGCGGTGTGTTCTTAAATATGTATGTCGAGGCAGTCTCTTCATAACAGGGGGCGATATGATGACATGCTGTTGTGCATAAGCTGAGTTTCGATGGCTTTTGTCCCCAGGTCAGCATGTACTATGCTTCGAGATGTCATATTGGAAGCGGTAAGCATAGCTGAGGCATTCTTCTGCTCGGGCTGTAATTCAATACTACTGAGAAGTTTACGTGTATAGGTTAGACAGCCTCGAACCCTCCTTTTCCACAGTCCGCCCACATCCCACATCACCCGTACTTTTAGTCACTTAGAAGTCACAACTCAGCCCAACTCGGTCTTTTGCCCAACAGGCCGTATATCCACTTTCATGCTTCCCATCTCCATCCTCCAGAGTGAATCTCATGTGTTTAGTGATCTGGTCCAGCCAACCAAAGTCGCATCCAAGTGCCGCGTCGAGCCGCCGTTTTGAGAATGCAGCCTAGATCGGTCGTGTGAAACACAACGCCACCACGTGAATAGACTTTCTAGTCCTTCGCATACTTGTAAGTTTACCATTTGCTTTTGAGGTTTCTGTCGTGCAGGAGTCGAGCAACGAAGATGATGGCTCCTCCTCCGAGCAGACAACACCCCTAAGAATGTGCCGTTAGCAATGATTTCTGATCAATAAGACGGAGAAATGCAAGACTTACTGCAAAGATTATCAGAGAATGGTACCCGGCTCGGGTCTCGCTTGTAATCAACGCGCCAGCGATTGGGCTGCCAGTCAAAAACGCCATAGACGTAACGGTGCCAAAAGCGCCGAGTCTTGCGCCCAGCCTATCAGCAGGGATGATTTGGCCGGTGGCGGCAGGCATGACTGAGATGAAAACCCCAGATGCGAAGCCGTAGAGGCAGGCAAAACCAGCCAGAACGCCAGGGGTTGTAGCAGGGAGCCACATCGCCACGCACAAAAGCCCACATAGAAGGATCATGGGGTAGAGAAAGTTCAGGCGTCCGATGCGGTCCGCCGCGTGACCGCCACTATCAAAGTTAGTTTGCTGAAGAATGTGGGTAGAGTCAGGGAAGACTACGTACATGATACGACCAAAAAGACTGGCCGCGTTGATCAGCGGGAGAAGGTAAGGCCGAATGGTCGAGTTCGGATCAAGGGCGACGCAAAACGGCTCTGGATTTTGTTAGACGGCAATTTGCAGGGTACGAAGCCGAAAAGATGTGAAATCATGCACTTACCAATGTAGTAAAACGGAACGTAAATGCCGAGACTTGAGATGACTGCTCCGGCTGAGAGACAAGAGTATCGGATGTCGAGAAAGCCTTTGTAGTCAAGCAGATCCCTAAAAGATCTCATCTTCCTCTTGGGCCGTTTGGACGAGGAGACGACTATGGCTATAGCGTAGCAGATGACCATGATCAGAGCCCCGACACGCAGTGCCCACGGGAAACCAATGGTGGGAATCAGTTTGGAGAACATGATTGGCAGGCAGACTCCTCCGAAACTGCTACCGGAGGCGACGATTCCCATGGCCAGAGCACGCCTGCGGTGGAAATACTGCCCTGCAACCGTGAGAGCGGGCTATCACACTGGAGTCAGTACGTTCAAGAGCTTACAATGACCCGAGAGGTTCCTAGGGATCAAGATTCATCTGCCTGAATCTAGCGTGCCATCACCGGACCCCGTGCCCTTGTCCTCCATGTCTTTAGAGCGTGGGGCCGAGGATGAGCGTTGGTAGTTCAACAGGAGGAGAGTAAACTACTTACTTGCACTCCATAGGCGACTGTAAGGCCGAAGAGAAGAGATTGGGCCAGAAATTGCTGCCAGATTGCATTCGGCTGCGTGAAGGATGTCGCAAGCATGGAGCCGGCACCACCAATGGCAGCGAACAGGTAGAGCCACTCACATGAAAGTTAGAAAATTTAGAACCGAGGAGTGGGACTTGGGAGCAGGGCTACATACTTTGGGACCGTAGAGATCAAACAGTGCTCCGGCAACAGCACCCGACAGATACATCAGGGTGATCTGCAGGGTTCCGATGAAGGAAATGGCGGTGGGCGAGTAATTCTTCAGGTACTCTTGTTGATAAAAGGTCTGGAAGAAGCCGAAGCTGTTCACGACACCGAAAGATGCGAAGTAAACGAGGAAGGAACCCGCAACGGCAAGCCATGCCTGGGTACCGCCTTCGGGGTAGACTTCATGTTCCGGTTCTGCAGGGGATGATTCTTCGTCTCCGTGCTGGGTTCCGGAGATGGATTCAGGGTCCGGGTCCGAAGAGGGGACGATGGAGCCGGCCTGCTTCTCAGACCGAGACTGATCTGATAGAGTGTTACCTGCCATAGTTCACAACGTGAACTGGCCTGCTTAAAAAATGGGTTAGGTAGCAAGTATGCTTACAGCGAGGATGATTGGCGACTGCGACGAAACGGTCAGTGGCGGTAACGATTCTGAGTGGTCGACTTGCCGCCTAACCAAGGTGAGAAGACAAGTAGGTGAGGAGGTGAGGGTTTAATGACAGAAGGAAGACGCACCGAGGCAAGTAATAGGCAGGTTATAGTTTATATACCATGTCAGACGCGGACATCCGTATTCATCCACACATGCATTCAACCGTGATCAGATATGGGGGCCACTAAGGTGGAAAGGGACAACAATATACTTTGTCGAATGGAGCCAGGGCTACACTTGAATCAATAAATCGCGTCTTCATGCGGCTATATGGCAGCACATCTGACAAATGACTTAACCTAGACCTAGCACTACCCTGTTTTAATGTACGAAATATGAAAAGCTTGTGTCTTTACACAACCAATCATAACAAACCATATCTCGGGCGGATATATGTGGAGTGTAGTTCCACAGAACCCTTAGTGTACACGCGCGCTAACATGGGTGTTGCACCCCGGGACCGACCTCCGGGAGGGGCTTCCGGAGGGGTCCGGCACTGCCGCTTTCAACAATTTTCTCCATAATACAACCGAATCGACCACTCCTTTGAACATGCGGTATATTGCCCATGTCGTTGGCTGGTATGCTGGCAGCTTAAGGTTTGTGTAATGGTCTTTGTCCCCACGCGAGTCCAATTTTCCTACAAAACTTATATACTTTTTAGTTTTCAGTTCTTTCCAGTCGCCATCAGCGCCACGACACGATTTACCGCGTACGGTACACCACAACGCATGGTTGCTGTGTGGTACTACATGCAGACCCTCGGAAAACATCCTACTTTCCTGACACAATGTTGTTCCACTCTTCCTCCCAAGACACGGAGCATTTCAGAGAGTCATTGGAGCCCGTAATTACGGACACATTCGAGTCACTACTTTCCGATACATTCGAGTCAATGTTTACTTTCAGAAGTTGAACTGCCTTTCTTGGCGCCAAGATCCCGCCCTAGATCACGGATGCCATCAGCACTCGTATCGATCTCTTTTTGACCGCAGTAGGGTTGCAGTAGTCCCCATCACGGCTTCAACACCCGTCCCCGCAGGCCGTGCTTCTGAGTTTCAACCTTCTGATTCGGGAAGATCCGACCCTTCTCGCATGCTCTCGGGACTTGGCCTCAACGAGAATATATATTACCGGATTACTTGGCGGCCTCTTCGGCTCCCTCGGACGAACATTGTTCTCGGAAGCTCTTGTTAAGTGTGAATCTTGGCGTTTCGGTTGAAGTACTCAAGAATGGCAGGCAACGTTGTCAGCGAAAGGAGACGGCAACAGAATAGAGAGGCCCAGCGAACTTACAGTAGGTTGCATCCGGATACCCCACCCGCGAGCTAAACAGTGGAAGTAACGCAAGTGATACTGACACCCTACAGGGAAAGGCCTACTAAAGCGCATCGAGGATCTCGAGAATCAACGGAGTGCGTCCCCGGCCGGTTCAGGTGGGAGTGGCACCACCAAACCGACGCCGACTTCAACGAATAATCACAAGACGCAAGGAAGTCACCAAACTCTGGCCCCTTCCGACGACGAGGCTTTCTCATTTCAGTCCTCTCCGTTATCCAGAGCGCTTAGTCTAGACCCCATCATCGAATCTAACCTCAACCCACGGCGTGGTTTTATGGACCCGCTGTCGGGTTACCCAACTTTCGATCATGATAATAACTCCGCAAACACGGATACCCAGGTAAGGAAAATTCTATAGTGTGTCGGAGACTTTCTTATGTCAATGCTGAGACTATCGGCATGTAGACAGGCATATCATTATCTTGCTGGTTGAAAAACCAGGAGGCCACCGAACCCATCTTTGGAAACCAGTCCACCATGGGCGGAGTTGGCGGAACAGTACTCCACGCGGCCGTTGTGCACGGCAACGAGGCCATCGTCAAACTACTGATCGAAAAGGGAGGAGACCTGAATGCGCTGACGCAACAGCGCAAGGACACGCTTCATCTGGCCGTAGAGAGTAACCAGATGAACATCGTCCGCCTCGTGCTCAAGGCCGGTGCCAATGTGAATAGTGTAGATGGGTGCGGGCACTCGGCTCTCTTCAAGGCCATTTTAGGCGGGAACGAGGACCTGGTGCGTTTGCTTTTAGACTATGGTGCCGATGTCAACCAGTCCATTGCACTTGTCCCCGAGGCATCAAGAATAGGCGTCACAAGTGCTGCATCTGGCTTTGTATGACACTACTAAATAATTTGTATAAATGCCAAAAAAAAAAAAAAAAAAAAAAAAAAAAAAGGAATAGAACTATCGCATGTCGTACCTACATGAAGAAAAAGAAATTTGCTGCGTCTATCGGGGATGTGACCCCTGCTTCTTAAATGCACCCAAAGGGCAAGATATGGGTTCCTCTCCATCACAATACAATGAGAAATACCTTAGCCGAGAACATCAAGCAAAAGTCCATGGAGCTTGGCAACAATCAGATCCACCTCTTTCTCGCTGACAGTATATGCGGGAGCAATTGTAATGTGGTCTCCAGAAATACCATCGGCAGTTCCAGCTCCTGGATAGAAATAAACGTTCCATGGCTCCGAGAGACCAGTCTGACTTATCCTAGCAGATACGGCATCCTCTGCAGGGAAAGGCTGCTTCGTGGTCTTGTTCTTGACGAACTCGACCGCCCACATCAGCCCCCGGCCTCGAATGTCTCCAACATTGGGATGACCGCCCAGAGCAGCGCGCAGAGCCGCTCCCAGACGCTCTCCCATGCGCATCGAGTTCTCCACGAGATCTTCCCTCTTGATGATACGTTGAACGGCAACACCCGCTGCGCATGCCACGGGGTGCGAGCTAAAAGTGTGCCCGTGGTTCCAGACGCCGGATCCGCCGTCGATGGCATCGACGACCCTCTGATTAACGAGCATCATCGCGACGGGTGCGTACCCGCCAGCGACGCCCTTTGCTACTGTCTGGATGTCGGGAATCACATCTTCCTGTTGCCAGGCGTGGTATGTCCCTGTGCGGCCGATGCCGCAGAAAACTTCATCAAGGATTAGCAGTGCCGAATGCTTGTCGCATACCGCCTTGATGGCCTTGAAGTATCCCGGAGGCGCAGTATGGCAGCCCAGTGCCTAATATTGTCAGTCAACGGTCCCCTGAACGTGATGGAGAAGCTTTGAAAACTCACACTTCCGCTGACCGTTTCTGCAATAAAGGCACAGACATTATTGGGTCCGCGAAGCTCGAACTCGGCGTCGAGCTCACACGCCAGTCTCTTGACGTACTCCTCCGTAGTCTCGCCATCGAGCATGCCGCGATACATGTTGGGCATAGAGACAAAGGATACCATGTCGCTCTTAAGGAGCGGCTCAAAAGGTTTACGGAACGCGACTTTGCCGCTCAACGCAAGTGAGCCCAGAGTGGTTCCGTGAAAGGCACCCGCTCGGGCTATGAAGCCCGCCCTATTGGGTACGCCAAGTTCCGCAAAGTACTTTACTGCGAGTTTCATTGCTGCCTCGACAGCCTCCGAGCCTTGCATCAGTTAGCAAGGTACAAGACATGGGGCGATTTAGCTATAGACTTACCAGAGCTCATGATGGTTCCTTTTGCAAGCTTTCCATTCGTAGTCTCAATCACCGCCTTGGCGAGTTCTTCGGCCGGCCGGTTGGACTGATTCAAGGCAAAGCAGTAGGACACGCTCTGCATCTGCTCGACAACAGCCTGAGTAACCTCAGTGTTTCCATGGCCGAGACAGGCGACGGCAGGCCCTGCACACGCCTCAAAGATCCGGCGGCCATCCTCGAGTATCAAGTACGACCCTTTGCCAGAGGCTACAATCGGCGGCGGCTTTCTGTGGATGTTGGGATGCAAAATGCTGGTCTTGGACTGGTCGATGACTGGAGTTCTCTCGGCTGATGCGACTTCGGGGACGGCCATGGTGAAGGTTTCAGTGTGGGGCAATAATCAGAGTATTCGGGTGCAAGTCAAGCGCGACGAGATGAGGTAATTTGGAATATTCATGGACTGGCCAGACTTGAAATACTTACTATAGTAGATGAAAAGGGAACGCCTAGGATTGCAAAGAAAAATACCAGGTTGACGCTACTATTCGACAATGTTCAGTGTTGCTGAGTTCCCTCTCAAATGTGCTTACTTGCTGTACAAAACCATACCTGCAAACCTTGATTACCCGGTTAGTTTCCAGCTTAGTCGCACCGGCATGCGGACCCGTCGCCAAGTCACCTAGCTTTTCTGATTTATTTTTTCATCGTTCCTTCTCTGCCTTCCTTTTGTTAATCCTGTTGCGTTTTACTTGCGTTTCTTTTCTGTAAAGGGAAGTTCAGAAAGCATAAGTACCTGGTTTTGGTAAACGCCTTTAGGAATATAAATCTGCACTGATGTGGCTAGGCCTAGTTGGATCAGGACAGATACATGTAAACTTATTCAGTTCATTGGTATTGCCGCAACTAAGCCCATATAGTTGTCAATGGCATTCAGTGTATTCAAATTGGTAAATCGTATTGATGTGTCTTTCGTAAGGGTACGAACTGCTGAGGTATTGAGAGAAGACGATCATGTTGTACATCTTATTTGATGTCTTGAGTTGTAGAGTCAACACCATCGAATAGAGTTGGCAAATTACAGGATAGAGTGACTTTGTCCCTTTGCTTTCATTAAGGTACCTCTCCCAATATCCTGGCTTGAATAAGTATTATAATGCCAGAAACCACGTCAAAGGTCGATACATTGGGGGACTTCCACGTTGATGAGGACGCCGAGAAGGAGTCAGTAACTTGAATCGCAAGATTGAAGAGTTTTTCCTTTCTGGCGAAGTGCAAGCTGATAACTCTTCTCGCGCTCATTGCAATAGACTGGAGCTAAAGCTGTCGGCGCCTAAATAGTATCTCCTGTTCCTCCCCCGGAGTGATCATCGCCCCCTTAATCCCGTTCTTAGGTCTCCCTGCCTCCTTATCAACAAGGTCCAATTCGAAATGATCAACCAAATGAAGGATGATGAGCTTGATGACCGCACTACCGAAGAAACGACCGGGACAGGCCTGGCGCCCGAACCCGAAATGCAATTGCTCGGAAGAGTAACTCGTGAACTGGTTTCTATGAGCACCACCGTCGGCCGCGTTCATCCGTTTATTATGGAAACGAAGACCATCAAACTTTTCGGGAGAGGAGTAGACTTCAGGATCCCACGAGACCATAGATGAGGGAGCGAGGATGTGAGTCCCTTCCGGAAGATGAACGCCGTTTGAAAGGGTTACGGGCTTCATGACTTGCCTTGAAAATGCAGCTTTTCGCCTCATTAGCTTGAGCATCTGAACATGGTATCATTGGCCACTTACTCAATGTGGTAGGGTTCATTCTTTGAGACTCTTTCAAAAAGCTGTCAAGCTTTGTGAGGCTGCTAAGGACTGCCGCCTCTTTTGTGTTTGACTCTTGGCGTTTCCGCGCCTCTTGGTTCTCTTCTCTAATGGTGTCCTGATACTTCGGCATTGCCGCCAAATCCAGGACCGCATTGGTCAAGGTGACGCCTGAAGCGTGAAGAGAACCAAATCCTGAGACGAGACACATCTCGGCTACGAAGCCGTCACTCTTAGGTGACCTGTCCTTTGCTG